ATTAATAATCTGGTAAATGCGAAAAGCGAATCGAAGAACTGCGAGAATTTTATTTTTAAATTTAATAGGCCAAGAAGTAGGCCTTTATTTGTAAAGTGACACAATAATATAAAGTTATCAAGCCCATTTGAGTTACTTTAACACATCAAGGCTGTTGTGATGTCAAATACTAGGCCTAATGTTTTTGTTTATGACAACAGCTCACGAGAACTATGTACACAAACAAGCTTCAACAACACCGGTCTGACAACATTTTAACAACACAATTTTGTACTGCTAGTGAGATCAACAACACACATCTACATCAACACAACGTGTGTGCAGAGTGAAACAGATCTAAAACGCTACTAGATCTACATCTACATCTACATAGCTAAACTAAACAACCGACGCCAACACATTGCAACATGTCAAACTGCCTTACCTTATTTTGTTTTCCCTCCCAGTTCGTAAAGTTCGCCCGGCATGCACAATAACACAAACCAACTGCTATTTCCTAAAAACTGGTGAACTCAACGCCACCGGTCCGAAGTCAACACACACACACCACACAGGGGGAAAATCACACTGTGGTTTGTTCTCGCTTGAGTGAATCCACAATCAAAAGGCACGCGGAGAAAAGAAAACAATGCATATCCGGCTATTAATAGCACGATTCAACCACTTGGTGTCGTGGGCGTGTTAGGTCCGCCACGCCGCGCGTTCAGCAGACGATACGTCGGTGTGGTCTATGGATGGGGCAGTGTCTGCGGGAAGAATACGCCGGAGAGATGAAGACGCGGGACGATGTATCGTTGGTGTAAACAATGTAAACACAGGGTAACTATCGTTCAACGAAGTGATTCGTCTGTAAATAAACACGGGGTAACTATCGTTCAACGAAATGATTGGTCTGTATGTAAACAATCAACGAACGAAGTCGTAGGCCCGTATGCAAACAATCATCCAACGAAGTCACTAGCCCGCATACAAAACTTTGTTTTCTGAAAGTTGTGTAATCGAACTGTGTAAAGTAATTTTGTGATCCTAGGTATTTAATTATTTAACCATTAGCTATAACCTAATATTTGGACATTAATTAATTAACAACTCTTCAACTCTGGCTATTTCGATAAGATGATTTTAGCGTGTATGTTGTTGTAATCGAAAATAACGAGGAATCTAATCATTACATATTTGGGTAATATTTTTGTTTATAGTTAAATCATTAAGTAGCAAATTTAAGTTATAAATTATGGTAGTGAAAGAATGAAAATTAAAAAAAAATAACGAAGTCGTTTTTAAGATGTAGCCATATAGGTCTAATGCTTACGCCCAGGAAGCGATACTTGATGTTTGGTCCGATGCTGATGGGCGCGCGCTTTGCCGTTAGACGCCGCGTGCTGACCCTTGTGTACCCTCAGCGGTCAGGCAGGTGTGTTGAAGACTGGTCACGTGGTGTAGCCGCTGTGTTGGACGGACGCTGTTCAGCGATGCGTGTCTGCCAGGGGACGCGATGTGTTGTTGTTGTAAGGAATATGTTGTGAGTGAGGAAGTGTTGAGGTGTGTTACCATCAACTCAAGCAGTTTGACATTCGCTTGTTGAAAACACAAAGTGTATTTCTATGCCTACTTTCTAGTTACTTTTATCTCATTTTTAAAATTGTTTTTAATAGATTGAACTTTTGCAGACCCACATCCCCCCCCCCCCCATACTCAAATGAGTTTAGAAATAAGTTTTATCTTTCAATACTGAAATAGATTCTTCATTATTTCTATCAAGAATGGTTTGATAGAGTTCACCTTACAGAAATGGTACCGATAGTTTTAGCAGACAAAACCACCGAGCATTAATAAATTAAAGATGAAATAGATGAATGGCGAGCCTCGTTCTAAATTAGGATTACTGCTTGTGTCAACTGTACAAAAGTGCAACTCTATTTATTGGGGAGGGGGGGCGTTAAAGGAAATAAATGTAAGAACAAAAATGATTGCACCTTGAGTCTATACCGGAAGAACAAGTAGAAAGCTAGATCGGACAGTGTGACACACTAATAGCTACATACCTAGCTGTTGCTACATGTTTAGCTGTTGCTACACAACTAGCTGTTGCTACATGTTTAGATGTTGCTACACAACTAGATGTTGCTACACAACTAGCTTTTGCTACATGTTTAGCTGTTGCTACATAACTAGCTGTTGCTACACAACTAGCTGTTGCTACACAACTAGCTGTTGCTACATAAATAGCTGTTGCTACATGCGTAGCTGTTGCTACATGCGTAGCTGTTGCTACATGCGTAGCTGTTGCTACATACCTAGCTGTTGCTACATACCTAGCTGTTGCTACATGTCTAGCTCTTGCCACATGTCTAGCTCTTGCTACATTTCTGTCTCTTCCTATATGCCTAGCTGTTGCTACATGCCCAGCTGTTGCTCAGAGGCGTAGCGACCCTTCCCGGCGCCCGGGGACAAACTTTTCGAGATTTCGATTTGCACCCCCCCCCCCCTCAAACTTTCGATTTGCACACCCCCCCCCCCTCGAGATTTCGATTTGCACCCCCCCCTCAAACTTTCGATTTGCACACCCCTCAACCTTTCAATTAATTTTTCCAACCCATTTTGGCGCCCCCTAAGGTCGGCGCCCGGGGACATATGGCACGCTTCCCCCTCGCTACGCTACTGCTGTTGCTACATACCTAGCTGTTTTTACATGCCCAACTGTTGCTACATGTCTAGCTGTTGCTACATACCTCGCTCTTGCTCAGGGGGTCATTGTGACCGCTAGTCCAGCCATCTTTACTTTCCCTAACGTGAGTCAGGTACCCATCAGAGCTGAGTGGACTCTATGAAGTCCTGCAGACTCAAATCCGGACCGAGATCCAAATTCGAGACATTCAGATCAGCAGTCAACCTCTCTACCACTCAACCACCCTGTCCCATAACTACTTACATAAAGCTATTTTTAAAAAAGTCACATTATGCATATACTAATGTCGTCCTTATAAACACAATGCACAAATTTATTTATTCAAATTTATTTAAAAAAAACGGTTACAATTGTAGGCACATGTGACATTCGTTATGGAAGTTCAGTAACGTTAATCCTAACTCAGGGGCGTAGCGAGGGGGGGGGGGGCGGGGGGTGCGGACCGCACCGGGTGACACCATTTAGAGGGGTGACACCAAGGCAAAAAATAGCAAAATATATAGAGAAAAACTTGAGGGGGGGGGGGTGCAAATCAAAAGTTTGGGGGGGGGGGGGGGTGCAAATCGAAAGTTTGAGGGGGGGGGGGGATCGAAATCGAAAATTTGAAAAAGTTTGTCCCCGGGAAGGGTCGCTACGTCTCTGGGGGGGGGGGGGGAAGGGTGACACCATAAAGTGCCGCACCGAGTGACACCCGACCTCGCTACGCCACTGTCCTAACTTAAAACAAACAACTTAACCAACCGAAGCTCAACTAGTTTATGGACTGTGACGTAATGTCGACCTGACCCGGATTGTTTTGACCTGCTGTTGATAAACATCTCGTCACGTGATCTCATTAACACGTGTGACCTTGATCTAGAGACGTCCGGTCGGGTTATTGACTGTCTCTTAAAACCGGCCAGATTTTTTAAAATTGTGTGGCCAATTCGGGAGTGGCCATGTTGTACTAAGTAGGTTGACAAATGAGTTGAACTAAATGACCTTGGTGACGTGGACTTTGGACAAGATGGCGTCACACCCTTTTTGTGCGGGGGGGGGGGGGGGGGGGTGGAAGGGGTGCGCTGGATGATGTTGAGGATAACAAAGTAGGGAGTCTAGGAGAGGAAGTGGGGTTGGATATTGGTTAGGAGGTAAGGAATGTGTAAACGGGGGTTTGAATAGGGTAAAGAGCGAGAGTCACGAAAACGAGGTAGAGAATTAAGTGCGGGAAGAAAAAAAAATGTAATTAAAAAAAAAATAATTGTCGTTATATTCCTGACGAGTGACTTAATAAATGACGTTTAAGTCACCGTGACGCTTTATATCAAGCAGAAATGAACTGGATAGTTAAGGGAGATAATGCTCGAGCTAATCACAGCGGGCAGTGTGGAGTGGAGTGATATCCCCTTCAGTCATAAACACTATCATCGCTAAAAAGATGGCCACGCCATGCTATAAATAGACACAACAGCCGCCATCGCCTGTCATTGGCAGCAGTTAAATTTCTGGCAGAAGTGAAGAAATTATGGCGGCAAACTCAAGTGATGCTAGCTCAGTTCGCTAAATCCGGCAGAGATTTTTATGCTTTGAAAAATATTTTAATTTTTTGTCAGCGGCTTTGTTTTAAATCAATATAGTATAATACATTTATCAGCGGGTACCCAATATACTCTACATCACCTATCCCCGTAAAACAGCTGACCATAAGTACATTCTTTAGTTTTACAGTTTAAAGATCACCCCTCCCCCCTTAATCATCCGACCAAATTATAACAACACTTTTTACTCATTAAATTTCACCTCGCCAATATTTCATACACACATTTTTAGCTACAGCCATGGTACGCTTGCTGCAGCTTTCTACCCAAACAGAGTTTCTTCCAGGCATCTCTTCGGGGGAGCTCTGCCCTCCCCCCCCCCCCCCCCCCCACTCGAAAAAAGTCTACCCCCCTCCCGAACGAAATGAAATGTATATAGAAAATATATACTTATATTATACTAATATGAAAGTATCCCCCCCCCCCCCCCCAAAGAAAGTCTACCGCCCCCCACCCCCGAAAATTTCAAGTGCCCCCCCCCCCCCCCCCCCCCGGAGAGAAAAAAGTCTGGAAGTAACACTGTACCCAAAGGACCTATTTTAATCAATAACACGTAGTAAATTACAATCTTGAAAATGAAATATCGTTTCGATTACTATCCTCAAAGCACTCTCTAATAGGAAGTCCCCTTTGAGCATGCACATCCTAAAAAAAATTCAAAGTCCGCCAACCTGTTTTATTATAGATGAGATAGGGCCACCGTTACATTGTTTTATTTCATTGTTTTCATCTCGATGGAGTCTGGTGGCTTTGGCGGCGTGGGGATTAGAGGGTCGCGCCCCTTGTCTAGCCCAGGGGCAAGTTACTCTAGATTGTCGCTATGATATTCATACCGTCCCACGGCCGGTAATCCACTGTGAGTCTAATAGGTCCATTAGAGGTTGCCGGAACATCTGAGTGTTGGCTCGTCTCATGAGTTGTGGGTTTTTTTTAACATATGTCGGTTAGGGTTATATTTACAGGGGTAACTTGGTTGAGATAACAATCTAAACCCAGACCGCGTTCGTACTAAGAATGTTCGTTAGTCGAAACTGGATATATCAGGGGTCTACTTCTTTAGACAGTTTTTTTATCGTTCCATACTGTCAGTTTGTGATTATTTTTACTTGGATATATTTATTTCAGTATTAATTTGGACTACTGGGGATTACAGGGTCAACCCTCCTCTAATACGTTTAATTCCCCTTGTTCTCAAAGAATTACCTCTCTTGTACTTATAGAGTCAACTCCCCTTGTTTTAACAGTCAACTCCCCTTGTTCTATCAGAGTCTACTCCCCTAGTTCTATCAGAGTCTACTCCCCTAGTTCTATCAGAGTCTACTCCCCTAGTTCTATCAGGGTCAGCTCCCCTTGTTCTATCAGAGTCTACTCCCCTAGTTCTATCAGGGTCAGCTCCCCTTGTTCTATCAGAGTCTACTCCCCTAGTTCTATCAGAGTCTACTCCCCTAGTTCTATCAGAGTCTACTCCCCTAGTTCTATCAGGGTCAGCTCCCCTTGTTCTATCAGAGTCTACTCCCCTAGTTCTATCAGGGTCAGCTCCCCTTGTTCTATCAGAGTCTACTCCCCTAGTTCTATCAGAGTCTACTCCCCTAGTTCTATCAGTCTACTCCCCTAGTTCTATCAGTCTACTCCCCTAGTTCTATCAGAGTCAACTCCCCTTGTTCTATCAGAGTCAACTCCCCTTGTTCTATCAGAGTCTACTCCCCTTGTTCTATCAGAGTCTACTCCCCTAGTTCTATCAGTCTACTCCCCTAGTTCTATCAGAGTCAACTCCCCTTGTTCTATCAGAGTCAACTCCCCTAGTTCTATCAGAGTCTACTCCCCTAGTTCTATCAGAGTCAACTCCCCTTGTTCTATCAGGGTCAGCTCCCCTTGTTCTATCAGAGTCTACTCCCCTAGTTCTATCAGTCTACTCCCCTAGTTCTATCAGAGTCAACTCCCCTTGTTCTATCAGAGTCAACTCCCCTAGTTCTATCAGTCTACTCCCCTAGTTCTATCAGAGTCAACTCCCCTAGTTCTATCAGAGTCTACTCCCCTTGTTCTATCAGAGTCTACTCCCCTAGTTCTATCAGAGTCAACTCCCCTTGTTCTATCAGAGTCTACTCCCCTAGTTCTATCAGAGTCAACTCCCCTTGTTCTATCAGAGTCTACTCCCCTAGTTCTATCAGAGTCAACTCCCCTTGTTCTATCAGAGTCAACTCCCCTAGTTCTATCAGAGTCAACTCCCCTTGTTCTATCAGAGTCTACTCCCCTTGTTCTATCAGAGTCAACTCCCCTTGTTCTATCAGAGTCTACTCCCCTAGTTCTATCAGAGTCTACTCCCCTAGTTCTATCAGAGTCAACTCCCCTTGTTCTATCAGAGTCAACTCCCCTTGTTCTATCAGAGTCAACTCCCCTTGTTCTATCAGGGTCAACTCCCCTTGTTCTATCAGGGTCAACTCCCCTTGTTCTATCAGTCAACTCCCCTTGTTCTATCAGAGTCAACTCCCCTAGTTCTATCCGTGGTAGCTCCGCATATCAAACCTAACAGAATAATCTATTAGAAATTCCATTCGCTGGCTTGCGATTCGTTTAAATCTTCGAATGTTCTATAGAAAATATCTCCCACAGACCTCTTTATAAATGTTCTACGGAATATTTCATCTGCACGTCCACAATCTAATGTTGTTTACGACTGTTTGTTTGTCTACACCGTGTTTATCTTTTTTTACCTTATTCTTCACGTGAAATAACTCCCCGAGACCGCCAGAGTTATCGCTCTGCTAATGAACTCGACTCGCCGCTATTTTGTACAAGATAACTTGTGCGTACAGGAATATGTACATTTCATTTGATCTAAGTGATATGTGTACACAATTTGTGTTAATCTACGTGTACAGATCTGTGTACAACACCAGCTACAGAATGTTAACTTACATATGTGTTGTAACTTTTTACTGGTTGTGTTTGTGAGTTATGATTTTTTTTTCGCTTTCACATATTCATCAAGTGTTCATAAAGTTTTCGTTCTTTTATGAAAGATTGTGTAATGTAGTGTGAATGACTTGAGCTATGTAGGGCAACTTGTCAACTTTGAGACTGGTCTTTATGTAGTTGGTCATTTAGTCAGCTGGCCATGTAGTTAGGTGGTCATTTAGTCGGCTGGTCATTTCATCAGCTGGTCATTTAGTGAACTGGTCATTTTTTTCAGCTGGAAGATTAGTCAATTGGAAAATTAGTTAACCGAGAGACTTGTCATCTAGTCAATTAGTAGACTGATCCCCTAGTCAAATGGTAATGAGTCAATTGGTCAACTGGGTGACCGGACTATCTGATCAAGTTGTTAATTGTAAACTGATAGTTCTTCCTTCCAAAAAGTGTCTCGTCATACTCCATCGTTACATCCGCATTTAAAAAGTGCCGGGTTCGAATCCTCACCACCACCTTCAGCTGGTGCAGGTTGTAGGAACACCGCCTGCATTTATTTCTGGTTCACCTGTTTCTGAGACATTCTCACCTGGTGTTCACCTGCAGGTCACGTGGTTAAGGGGGGGGGGGTAGGGGTAAATTAAATCAACACAACACGTCTTACTTCATTAGATGTTTGTGTACGGTGTTGCAAGACATTCACGTGAGTGATGAAAGGCGCATGCGTAAACTTGAACGGAAGTGGGGTGGGGGAGGGGGGGGGGGGGAATCACAGCGTAGGATTACACCTTGTAAAGGGGCACTATCAAACATAAACAGTGACATTTTAGCAGAAAAACCTGACTTGTTATCGTCGTTTATAAAAACTATGTGAATAGAGTAAAATATGCATCACTAAGAATAAGTTCACGCATCTTTTTCGATGCTGATGTGGTATGATTGGGTTCCGATCCTGTCTAGCAATAGACTTACTAATGTATTTGCAAGACAGACATTCATTTAGACATGTGTGTTTTTGAAGTGTGTGTTTTTTCTGTGCTTTACCTACGAGGGTTATTTATGTGGGTCATTTGAGGGGGTTATTAAATTGATTATTTATGTCAAGTATGTTGGTTATATATATATATATATATATATATATATATATATATATATATATATATATATATATATATATATATATATATATATATATATATCCAATTTATGTCCGTTATCTACGTATGGTATTTAAGTAGGTAGTCCAAACTGAAATTAACTATTGATTGCAGACTTCTGGAGTGAGTATGTCATGAAAGAACTTTTAATTGTAAGGTCTATGCCACAAATTTTATAAAAATATCTCAATAAATAAAAAAGTTATGCGATTTTTAAAAAAGCAAAATTTGGTAAAAAACTGATTTTCAAAAAGTGCCATTTTTGAGAACCCATATTTTTTAAACTAAATAACATAGAAGTGTGGAAATTGGTAAAGTTGCTGCAAAGTTTGTAATATATATGCCCAATTTTTTTCAGTCATCTAAAATGAGTCTTTCTAAGGTAAAAAAATAATTGAAAATGACAAAAATGCGTTTTGGTCACTTTTATTTTCATAAAAAAAAAAAATCAATTTTTTTTTTTTGCTTTGGAATAACTCTAAAATTATTGTGTTGGTAACATCGACGTGGAAAAATGTGTTAATTATTTTCAAAAATCACATGAGTTAAAATATTATTTTAAAAAATACCACAGTTATCTAGTGCAGGAGAAACAGAATCAAAATTTAGTAGAGTAAATGTAATGTAATGTAGTTTAATAAAGACGTGATGCCTACAAGTGATGCAGCAGTTGATGCCACATGCTTTGGTTTCTTTTCAAACCTGATAACTGCTTTGGGGGAACAGTTTTGGGGGAAAATCTTTGTACGTCTTGTTTCCCTCAACCTTGATCTTGTGGAGCATCAAGAGTAAGTAATATGTTTTGGGAATTGTAGGGGGGAGGGGGGAGTGGGGTCTTGGCTTTCTTCCCTTCCCTTGTAAGGAAAGTTCTGGATAGGCCACCGTAAATGTCTCCAGCTATGGAACGAACAATTGATTTAGTGATTAATAAAATATAATTAAATTTACTACTAGCCTATTGTGTAGGCCTACTATTTGTCCTATGACTATAACTGGAAACATATGAAAAAGCCTGAAAACACCTTTTTGTTAAAAGTAATTTATATTTTTTATATATATTTTTAAGAGTAATTCTACTGAATGAAATTTGAAATAATCGTTGCTTGTCCCACAATGGTTGAGATATCCAATGATGAAGATGCCATACTGTGGTTCTCAACATCCTATAGGACAACTTAACTGTCCTTCATTGTTACTATTATATGCATATAAAATAAATAAATAATGAGAAATACTACTAGTACTACTTACACTTACAAGTAATATAACATTTAAAACTAAGTCACAACATGTACAATCTTAATAAATTGCACAACCATCTAAAAATTGATCTGGTACATTTTATTAAGGAGACTGGCGCAGACCATTTCACATTATTCAGCAGGGGAATCAGAATCAGAGTGCACAACAGAAAATAAAAAAATCAATCACATTAGTCCTTCAAATTTAGTGTCTTTTGTTTTAAATACATTGATAAAAATGTATAGTTATTATAATTATACATTTCTTTTGTGTTTCATTAATATTTTATAAGTATTTAACCTTCGTTCCCTGTAAATAATTGAGTTCGTCCACATAGTAACTAGGATAGTCTGGTGGCCATTTTGAATTTGTCGATTCATAATTTTGACGTGATAGTCCAGATAAACTGTAGTAATACGACCCTATCATTGATCCCAGTCAATAGATTTTAAAGAATTAGTAAACACTAGCATCTAATAGTTAAGTGCATCCATATTTCAAGTCCCTAGAATGTCCTGAATTAAATAGCTTCACGTTTAAACACACCATGTGTACAAGCGTAGTTCACGCGCTAAAACCGTGGACTAGTAGGGTTCAAATTTACATTAATAACGTGTACTAATTAAACCAAACTGACATTCAAACTTAAAATTCATTTATTAAAATGGAAATGAAACTTTAAAAATGATACTTACAACTTGTTTGAAGGCTCTAGCAAGGGTAAAATCCGTTTAGCATCATCGGTCGTCAACCTTTAAAACCGTTCGGCGAGCAACTTACTCGGGGCTGAAAGTCGACTCGAGGGTTATATATTTATTGGGGGGCTTCGCGACCGTAAATGAGAAATACTTGAATTTACAACACAAAGTAGTTATAAAACTGAACTTTACATCGGTGTAAAAATTGAAACAGAATTAGTTTGTTTCCGTGTATATATCGTCATTTAAAGTTTAAAATCTGTATTTTTTAAATGAAATAAACAAGTTATTTTTTCAATTTATACATCAAACGATAGCGTAGAATTCGATCTCTAAAATGACATTAAGATTATGCTTCTACGATGCTTCGTCGCGAAGCCGCGACCAAATAAAACAGTGTGGGGTCGATCGGTACACGCAAAACGGTGAAATTTGTTGACGTAACTGATACTTTTCAAACAAATATAAAACACATTCAAACATGTGTTACAGATATAAAAATACCAGATTACGACAGATAAAGACTTAAACTTTATTGACATATAATTTTTATTCTTATAGGACAACTAGAAGTAGTGAAATTTTTTTTTTGAAAACCGCAAAAACTGACCATAAAACGCACTTTTTCGCCAGTTTGGACTACCTAATTTAAGTGATGTATTTACTTGGACTCTCTATGTCGGGTGTTAATGTCAGTTATAAATAAAATCAGGGAGATAAACCATTAAATCACGTAACACGTTAACACAATTAGAGTTACCTGCACCTGCCAGAAGAGTTCACTATGGCAGTCCATGTTGGCTCTTTGACCTCTGACATCTATACATACTAACATAGACTTGCTTTTCCGTATTGCAGTTAGAAACACTACAGCTACAATTGTTCGTAGAGACCGAGTGGTTACAGAGCATTACCCCCCTCCCACCACCACCACCACCATCACCACCACCATCACCACCACCATCAACACCACCATCAACACCACCACTACCTTCACCACCACCACCACCATCAACACCACCACTACCATCACCACCACCACCACCATCAACATCAACACCAACACCAACACCATCACCACCACCATCACCATCACCAACACCACCACCATCACCATCACCAACACCACCACCATCAACACCACCATCAACACCACCACCACCATCAACACCACCACCATCAACATCACCACCATCACCACCACCATCACCAACACCACCACCATCACCAACACCACCAACACCACCATCACCAACACCACCACCATCAACACCACCATCACCATCACCACCATCACCACCACCACCACCACCAAGTTTAACGATCAAAATAGCGTTTTCAGAAATTATCTAGGAGTCGTCGTGGTAAGGCCTATAAAGCTCATAGTTGCTAAACCGAGAAGTCCCGAGTTCAAACCCCTTGCAGATGCAATTGCAAGGCACAGTAACCCGTCTAGTTTGTTCTTTGATAAACAAGGCTAAGGAAGCAA